AATGATGAAATCACTTGTGATTGGGAGGTTATCCGCGACTTTACGTCTTTTGACGCCTTTACTCATTTTAAGGAAGCCTTCCTCCTCCTTCTCCTCCTCCTCCTCTCATTCTTCTTCTTCATCTCACGGTTTGCTTGGCATTGTGGTTCCTGTGCAATTTTTTGTCATTGTTAGGCATTTGTTGTCACTTCCTTCTGTGTGCTAGTGTCATTTTGTTGATGACGGATGTGCATACAGTATGGTGGACACACGTTTGTGTGAATCCGACTCGGTGGTTTAGGACTCTCCTTGTAGGTAGACCATCGTCGAGGTGTGTACGTTGGCTGCCATGAATTTAAGCCTCTTGGTGGGATAATCGTCTGCCAAATGCTCGTAAATGCGGTGTTCTTCAGTAGGGATGTATTGCCATCATGGTTACTTTATAGGCAACACACGAATCGGCTCGACGACTTGTTGCCTTTTACTACTGCAGTGATAGTAGTGTAGCAGATCGGGCGTGTTGTTTTTCACCCTCCCTTTAGTCTTTGTCGTTGTCGTCGTCGTAGTAGTTATTAGTCTTCGGTTTACTAGATTTACTATTTCTGCTGTGCGGCTAATACTTGGTTTAATGAGATGATGATAATGGGGTCCCGGAGGCAGATGAACGTGTGGAATTGAACTCACCCTCCATTTAGTCATATTGGTTAGGGGTAGACTTGACGGCTACTGGCTGTTTGACATCTCTCCCCTTCTTTCCTTCCTTCCCTCTCCTCTCACATTGACTTCCACCGTGACGGCGGCGAGTGTTTTGGTGAGCTTTGCTTCTCTCCAATAACGTCATTGCTACTGATAATATGTTAGTAGGGGATGTCACTCGCACACCAAATCGAGTCGACCCACCTCTCAGTCATCCCTCCCTGCTTCCCTCTCTCACGCTCCCCCTACCTCCACCTCTCCCTCTCCCTCACTTTATTCGTACTGTTTACCACCCTTAGCGGTATTATTGTACTTTCCACCGTGCGGATTTACGACGGCATTATTATCGTGCATTTTTGTGTTTTTAACGTCAGTCTTTCCATCTATGGCGGAAGAAAATTATTAATTTACAAGCCTTACAGCCACGCACAAAGCGGCAGAGTATTCTCCCCTCCCCTCGCCTCCTCTCCCCTGTT